GTAGGGGAAGAAGGGCTTTCTTGAGGGTGAAGCGTGGTATGTCCATTGAGTGATCACTGTTTTTGAGGGCGTCAAATGCTAAGGTCCCTTAAGTGTAGAATGTTTTTTATCATGGGAGGTGGCAGTGATCTTTTCTCGCTGGATGGCGATTACTGGCGCCTACCTACATGACGGCTTGCGGGGTTTTCCCCAATCAGGTATCTCACACCATCGAGGCACCGCCCCAGCCGGGACAAGCTCCAAGCTCCCAACTCGTCACCCGACAAGTGTAATTGTGTTGTGTATGTGTGTAAGTAAGGGGAAGAGATAGGAAAAGGAAGAGAAAGAAAAGAACGCATGCTGTCCGTTGCCCGTTTGTTAGGGTACTGCTACAACATACGCCTGTATTAATCAAAGAAATGAAAAACTACCGATCAGAGCAGTCGGCCGCTAAAAGTTTCCTCAAGGCACCGTCTGAATTCGATTGAGCCAAGTAACTAGTGCCTAAGCACCCACCGCCGTCAGGATTCGAGCCCTAGGACCTCCTGACCAGAGGCACTGCAGGAGCTCAGTTGGTGAGGCACTGAGCCGGCAGAAGGAGGTTCGAGGAGGAGAGGATGCGAATGGTTTTAAGGGGGAAGAGACAGGGGTTGGTGGACCATGAACCGGGAGGTGCGATGTGAAAGATGTATGTGGTTGGTGGGGAGGGACCCGAGAGCGTGTGGAGGGACTTGGGGAATTGAGGAAGCGGGGAAGCATAGAGGTTTCAGTGAGAAAGATGTGTGTTGGGTGTGTTGGGCAGTTGAAGGGGTTGGGGCCCGAGTGGCGATGTGGGACGTGTTTGCGTAAGGATGAGGGGCTCCTCGGGGCGCGGTGGGGCAGGGCGCAGTGAGAGGGTGAGGGCGCAGTGGGATTTGAGGGTGGAGGCCTTGGGGATGTGAGGGCGTGTGGCAGTGGGCGGCAAGGGAGGTGCAGGTGGGCGACAGAACGAGCAGTGCACTTGGTGGGTGGGAATCCGGGTCAGCGGGGAGGCAGGAGGCGGCTGCTGCAGGATCGCACACCTGCTGCCGAGAGTCGTCGCCGCCAACTGCTTCTTTCCCGAGTTCAAGGGTGAAAATTCAGTAGCTCTTTAGCAAACAAGTGCTGGGATAATTTCCTGCGCGCCTTATTGGCGAACTTCTTGCGTAGGGGAAGGTAGTACAGAGTTGGACAAAATGTACCTTCTAGAGCGAATCATTAAAAAATAAAAACATCTATAAGCAATTTTTCGACGTTATTCAAGACATATTTAAGAATATAAAACATTAAGATGACTTATCAACGTTTTGAGATAGGAAGTTTTATTTGAACTTGTATTTTGTCCCAAATTTGATCCACACTCAGAAAAGACACAGGGCCCAGACTGCTTAGATGAGAGAAAATTTAGTTCACTATTTGACATTCAAAGACATAAAAGATAAGGTTAATATATAATGTTTGTTAACAGTAATACTGAAATATGGAAAATGATTAATATATTTTACGTTCCATAACAATTTTTTCTTGAATCCTAGCACTACTAAAGGAGAAGGCTCAGAGACCCACCGATTGTTTGAATTTGTTGATTTAATTTCTTTAAAAAGTTGAAAATCCTTGATATTGTTCATGATTTTGGTTCAAAACGTTATAAAATTTATCCTATTTTTTTTAATAATTTGAGTTATTTCAGCATCTTATGCTACGAAATACATTCCGGATTATTCACTAGAAAACTGAGCAAAAGGGCTTTCGGTTACGGAGACTTGGGTTGGCGAGAATTCCGGGTACCCGGGCCTTCCTTTCCATTAGTACAAGTAGAATTTTCATTATATTTTAAAATTTATTCGTTCTATTACTTGCTAACATTAGTTTTCTTGAGCTAGCTTATCGTCACTTGTACACAGTCAGCTTTTACTCGTATAAGTTCTACAACATCTAACACTACGACTTTCTAGAAAAGGAATTAAATTCAAACACTCATTCTTGTGAAAAATATATTTTTAATCAAGGAGACTTATGGTAAAACAACAGTCAAATCATTTTTTGCTCAGTGTTTGTTTTCCTATGGGTCGTCGTTGGGTACGACATCGGTTTAGAGAATCGAAGCATCACAAATGGAGGCAGGTCTGCTGCTGAGTCTGGGAGAAAAATGTTTCGTGGTGCGTTTTTCACAAAATAAACGCAAGCGAAAGTTTGGCAGCCTTCGCTTCTGATAAAACAAATGGTGTTTTTCCATTTTCAGAGGGCTGTCGGAAACTGTAAGAAATGTATTTGCTACTAGAAAATATACGTACATTAGTTGCGGATAACATTTTAGGCATCACTAAAATATTGATTGCATGATTTTTCGCATCTTGCCAGTACTAATTATTAGAAGAGATAATTCTTTTGTTTAATGTCTTTTTTTATTGAAATGGTCAGGATATTATATTTAAAATTAATTAAATTTTATTTTCTCATTAGGTAACAAAGTGTACTGTCATTTAAAATTATTCACAATAAATAGTGTAATCGTTCGGTTTCGATAACTACCTGATGTAGCTATTTCGAATAAATAAGTGAATTACAAGAATTAAACCATGTTTTAAAAATGTAATTTTTACGTAAAAAATTAAAATCAAAATAGTAAGGAGAACTTAATACTTCAGAAACATGTTGAGATATAAATTAAATTAATATACTATCTTTTGTTGCGTAAGAATGTTTACCATACCTGTTGATGCAGTGTCCCTGAAATTTATTGGTGACTTGAAGATGTCTGTAGGATGTCGTTTGAACTCAAAGAGATTTTTCTGCAACAGACGAAAGGAATAATTGTGAATATATCAGTCTAGTAATATCATTAGATTCAAAGTCTATTTAAAGGAAATGTACATCATATTGATAATGAAGTGGTCGTACACAAAATTCTAACTGCTAGAAAACGCAAATAGTACTAATTAAGATTTAATAGAGAAATCAATTCAGTAAATTGAACATACAAAACAGATTAATTTTTCTTAATAATTACTTTAAAAATAAAAACTGCCACTGTAATGTCGATTTATAAAAATAAGAAATATCAATTGTGCTACATTATAACTCTACTGTAATGATATTTTGTATACCAGCATTATAAACGACATTATCTATTGCAAGAAATCGTTCATAATTTGGCATTTCACAGCACAAGTGATGATATATTAGCATTTTACTACACGAATGATTGCGTCATCGCCATACAGCCAATTGGAGCGAGAGAATCGTTGGTGGTAGAAGTAAACGGAAGAGCCGACCACCGTTTTATCGCGCAGATTTTCAAATACCCCAGACGTCACAAGAAAGATGTTTCGCAATGTTAAGTTTGATTCCCTTATAAATTTATAATGATGTTATACAGAACATTAGCGTATTCAGATCGTTTATAATGCTGCTTTATTGCATTCGTACAAATATGCTCATGTAATACATCTTAACATAACAAATTAACTGCATACATTTTTATTTCCCACTCTATATTAATTTATTGTCTTTGTGAATGTATTAATGACTGTATATTTGTATTGAAAATAACAATAATACAATAATATGTAATATTAGTAGATGCATTTAAATATACACTTCTTTATTCTCCGAAGTGAAATGAGAAGTGAAATTATCTTTTCTCACCGCAGAAAAATAGATAAATGGCCAGCTGTTTAATACTGGGTATAATTGTCAACAATAGCGTCTATCACACCATTCCGAAAATGCGGTAATTCACATCGCAATTTATTTATTACTCGATAAATTATATATTGAGGTAAATATTGATGTTTAATAATGAAGTAAGCTTCTGTGACGGGAAGACAAATATTCGCTTTTAACAAAATTCTGCTTATTAATTAATGAATTTTGATGTTTACTTCCTTTACAAATTGTTTTCTTACTACGTTTATTTTCTATATTTATGTTGTAAAGAATAAGAGAGGCCAATGGGTAGCAGCTGGGAGGTGATGGCACAATGCCGAAAAGCTAGCACTGTAGTCTAAAGAGATTAGAAGACTAACTAATACGATAAAGTACGTCCCATTCATTAGTAACATTGATTTCAAAATGTTTGTTTTAACTTTCTACTGAATCCATCTTACTAATTCTCGCTTTGAATGAAAGAGAATCTTTTATGAGTGTATGACCCATTTATGGGTCATTTTGTATTTATTAATTTACTTATTTATTTACTTATTTATTTACTTATTTATTCCTTATTTATTTTCGTCAAATATTTACGTTATAAAATAAAAATAACGTTGAACTCTACACTTAAGGGAAATCTTTGGTCGAGTTTGAAGGTGATTCCTATTTGAGAGTAGCGATGCTGGTATATTTTGTATCGTTTACCTTCGTTCAGCGTCTTTACTCGATTTAACAGTCCCCTAAATTTTAAGGAAGTTTCAAAACTAACACACAACGTCACAATTTCTATTTGTTCAGGATTTTTGTGCACTGAGAGAGGTAACAAACCAAATGTCGAGGGAGATAGAAAATTCGAAAGAGTGCATACCATTCGTAACCATTAAATATCACCGTTTACAGTTGGACTTTTATAAATGAAATGCGAATTATGTCGTGGTTTGAATTTTGCATGTGATAGCAACTTGACAAATCGGTTCAGTTTGTTGTTTAAACGGGAAAGTTCGTTTACCTTCATGTATGAAATTATATATATATATATATATATATNNATATATATATATATATATATATATTAATTACGTACAACTAAGAGATGAAAATCATATGTCAGAAGAGTCAAAGAGTAAGACAAATTAAGGATTTTGAAAGATTTATATAAATTGATCTAATGGAATATGAAACACGCACTGTATGCGTACCGTGTTTATCAAATCAAAATGAAAACCAAAATATTCAAACAAACACATTTTTGTGCCGCAGTGATAGGTTTTTCAATCTAATGCGCCTATGCTCATATATTGTACTCTAAACGACCTGCGAATTCGATATTTTTGTTTAACTACATAAATTGACGCTTCATAATACAACACAAATTAAACCACTTTATTAAAATTGCATTAATATAGCAATTTCATTTTAAATAATGTTATAATTGTTGTTCTCAACGCGTTTATCAACAAACGATGATCTGCAGGAGATGACACACATGAACCTACGCACCTCCCGATGCTAACCCAAATCAATATTTCCTCATTTTTAATTAAGCGTGTCTAACGAGGCAACGCGTTTTGTGGGCGTTGCCACGTAATGAATCACGTGCACAGGTGAGGCACTGCCTCTATGCCTCCCCCACAGCCTGATGAGGTGGTTACAAGTCAGGTGCTCGGTTTCCTAAATCGATATTCTCCTCTCCTCACCAGGCAGCATCATCCTCCAACACGCAATGCTACACTTATTAAATTTGATCTTTTTTTTAAATTTACAAAGGTGTAAAACGCATACCCTCTATCAGGTTAGAGAAAAATATTAAATTTGTGATTATATTGCACAAATATCAAATGTTCAAATTATCAAATAGATTTCAAAATTATTTTCTTTTCTGACCGCCAGTGCTAGGTATCCGAAACCCAGGGGAGCTAAAAATAAAAGTTTAAAAACATATATAAATTTATTGTAGAATGTGACGTATTTCTTCCCGTGAGTTATCGGAGTTCACTCATGTTTGTTTCTTCCCTCCTCGTACAGTCCTTCACACATCGGAACGTGCTCTCCACATGTCCTTCCATGATTTCCGCATGTTCCCCAATGTTTCCCCGCATTTTTCACCCAAATTCATCGAGTTCTCCCAGTGACGCTTTTTTCATTTCAAAATTCTCTACACTCTCGTTTCTCCACCATTAATTGATCCAGGTTTTAGATTATAGCCATACATATTTAAATTTGACCAACAAAGTTTTTTAGAACTGAATAAGAGATTATCTTTATTGGACTGAGATGGTACTGAAGGGTCATTCATGTCATGATAATTTTCTTGATCTACAATTGTCTAACAATACAAAAAATCTCGAAAACCAATACATTACACAACCTAACGGATTGAACTTTATCTCTGACATGTTAGCATGAACATTTTTATAAAAGACAATAATTTCTAAAGTAGCAGTAATGTTTATCCTGGAACGTATTCACATATACGTTCTAAGTACTCTGAAGGCAAACATTAAAATAACGTGGACATAAAAAGCTGAGAGAAATGAATTTTTTTTATCTAACAAACCCAGACAAGTCGCATTTATTTCCTTCCCGTTTGGTCAACTATTTGCCATGACTTTTTCTTGATGAATCAGTGCGTTCTGTGGACCCTTCAGATGGAGATCAATTCAGTAAGGCTAGAGAAATGAAGTGAACATACACACCCGATAGGCAGTGACAAGTGTATGTCTTATTGTGACTTTGTTTGGTAGAATTTTGTAGAATACGTTAAACTCAAATATCATAGTTCCTATAATTCATATTATCTTCCGCGAAATAATTTCAAACACACATTGGTCGCGTTCAACACACATTGTTCGCTAAACAAATGCTTCATTATCGGGTTCTATAGAATGAATTATGCAAAAGAATTCTCCAAGTCAGAGTTAATGGCATAAAAAACACAAAATGTAATTTGAATTGTCCATTGAATATCCCATGAATTTTGAGGTGATAAGTGAGTGGTAATATTGCCATTGCAAAAACATATGTCAAATTCATCATTCCCAATATCTTTAATACTATTTAATTGCTGTCCCACTATGTTCCTGCACAGGAAAACCCATTTAATACAAACTATCGGTCGTCCGGGGGATTATTTTTTTGTTCTGCAGTCGCAGTGCTAGCAATTGCTTCGCGTGGATGAACTAATCTCGCGTAGAAAGGGCGACTAACAAGGGGCCCGCGTCCTGGTTAATAATCGGCGCACGTCTTGGGCGCATTCGTCATCCGCCGGCTCA